TCGAGTTGCGATATTAACAAACGGTCAGAACTTAATAGTGCATGACGCAGTATATCATGATGTTGAACAGCAGATGCGAGAGCCTTGTCGTCAAGAATTCCAATGGTTATGATAAGCCAGTTCAAGATGATCCTTCAGTAAGGACGCGCATTTAGGCCCCTTCCCGTCAGGTTTTTCTACCGCGTGTGGAAATAATACCTAAGTGGTTAAGCAGTGAACTGAATCGAAGGGTTGCAAGAAATCCAATAACTTTGCATGCCAAGGAAGCTCTGGCACTGCTCGATGATTCGCTTCAGGACAAAGATGTTGTCCATGTGTGAGTACCCCCTTCAGAAGAATGATTGGTAAGTTCAAAAAAATTACCGATGGATTCCTATATATAATGACCTAACGATTTCTATCATTCAAGGATGATTCAGACAAGGACGTTCTCCAACACCCATAGGAGAGTGAATCTTCGGCATATGGTAGACCCGGAGCGACTCACATCCTTGAATATCAGGATTATGACGCGTTTCTGTGAGGTCTTCAGAGATCACCGAATTTTACCAGATGCGGCCAAAATTCAAGGGGAGTATGTGGAGAAAGTTTTTACTGTCGCATTTCAGAAGTTCCGTCTGAACCCTATCGTGTTCGCGGGGTTTCTAGTTGTAGATTTTTCGATCGAAGGTGGGACGAGATCAATGTTTAGATCTTTTCCAACTTCCTTCTCCATTTAGAGATATACCAGACGACGAAACTTACTGAGAAACCAACAAAATAACAGTTTTCAATCCCGCCGCAAGTATAACAACCACATGCAATTTCTCCGGATTATATGGTGGACCCAGAGTTCGTTGTTATACTTACCGACGGTATCGGTAGTATTTTAATGGTAAACGTGTAATACTGGGGATGTTCTGGATATGGGCATTTTAGTTGGTGTCGAACAGGCTGTTGCGTGAACAAATAAAATGATGCGGGTCACCATCAGTGAACTACAGCTGCTATACCATGGTGCCGTTCTCTGCTGAACAGATCTCTTAGGGCCTGCAGAAAAAAAATGTATGAACGAATACGCCGTGTCAAAGCATATGCTGAGTATTTGATTTGTTCCCTTATACCAACCGAAAATATTTCAAAATGTCTTCCGTTAGCTCAGTAAAGCCTATGCCTGATGTCTTATAAAATCGGCTACGCGTTGATCTACAATGGAATAAAATTTAGATAGGTTATCATTTAAACGTACCACTTGCTCGTCACCATACTCTAGTGTCAAGTTCAGCGGGCCATATTTGAGCGTAAAACATGATATGGTGACCCTGTCGCCCAGTTTTTTGCCATTTTCGACCTCCAAGTCAATCTGAGGCGAAAAGTTTCCTAAATCTTTCACAGTCAAAAGCATTTCCTTTCTTCGACTGAGGCTAAAATTCACTTACTTTCGTCTGAAATAAACGAGATTACCTCCGATGGGCTGCTAGATACATTGCGGGACAGATCAACCGCGACCACGTACAAGTTGTACAACTTTGCTGTCAGCATGTTGTTTATAACCAAGTAGTTCTTCGACGTCTCAACCTGAAAAGAGTCTATGCGATAAGGTGACATAAAAACGAATATAAATGTCCCACTTTCTCTATAGAGGTCGAATTCTCAACTCGATAAAACACCGAAAACTTGACGTTGGTACAAGGTTTCCTGTTTACTGTCATACCGGTCCATGCCCAGCTGACATTAACGGCACTCGTTCCCACCCATGTTATGATAACGCCGTACGGTGCTGATGGCCGATCGTAATCATCTGCAAGAGTTTAAAACACGTGGTTAATGACTGCAATTATTACTGTAACTGTGCACCTTCGTCAGACGAATGCAAGACAAATGTCAACTGACTGCTGGGTACGCTGTAGCCGTACTGATTGTAAGAAATCAACGACGCCTTATACTCGACACCAGGTTCGAGTGGTCTGAAGATATGGAATAGTTCAGTCGTGTTCGCCTACAAAAATACGACTGTCAGTATCTGTAAACAACACGCATCTGTATTAATTGACAGTGTACAATGAAACCCTGAAGAAACATGAGCAACAGCTGAACTGAGTAGAAATGCGAATGCACAGATAGACGTGTGGTGTCAGCAAAAAGGATCACATTTTAAACAGCTTCATAAAAGGCACTCTAGAGGTTGCACCAATTTCAGAAAAGCTCATCGAATGAAGGCTCCGTTGATTCGATCACGTGAAGCGAAGATTTAACGAGTACGTTGGAAATGTGGTCCACGCACAAAAAACTACAAGGGAATAAAAAAGCGGAAGGCCGAAGAAAAGGTGAAGCGATAAGGTAAAGAACAATATGAAATTGCGAGGAGAAACTGAAGGTCCAACCAACGACAGAAAAATGTGGAGAAAATGAATCGATTACCGACTCCTGTTAAAGGGAAATTGCCAGGAAAAAGAAAAATATAGTGAAACAGTGGACTACGTCATGTGAATCCTCAGTTACGATACACAGGAGCAAAACTTACGTGGTCTTAATCCACATAACCACAGACGTCTAGTAAAAAGAAAAAGATCAAGTTGATTTTTTGTATACGGACAGTAAAAAGAGTAGGATGCGTATCATGCCGTCTACTTTATGAAATGGACGGCAGGAAAGAGAAACACAAATTGGAACAAAAATAGCAGCGCTTAACCATGACATACCTTGAAAACAGTGCTGGCTCCGTCTTTGAGCGTCACTTCGTAAAAATCGACCGTCGTGGGCTGGCTAGGTGCTGACCATGACAAATTAACGAAGTTACTGCCGCGTTCAGCGATGTTTAAGTTCCTTGCCGGGCCAGGAAGTTTCACTGCGATAAAAATACGCAAACAGTCAGGAACATAATGCACAGGTATCTACAATTTTTATTACTAAAATTAGCGTAAATATAATGAGTATGAGCGCAATTTTATGAGATGACTTTCTGGATCCTAAAACCAAACATAAGATGGATATCATGGATCACAATCAAAATTAGCATTATTGCCAATTTCGACATGCTTCGTCAGAAAAGGGACGGTCAACTTTTAAGGAAGAGAATCACTTGCATCTCTATTGACAAAAAATGGGGTGTGCAAGTGTGCAATTTCGGTTCAGTTCGTTTCACATTTCCAGGGTACGGGATTAAACTCATTACTGCTTGAAACCTTGAAACACGGCGCTGTCTGTTAGCTTGTACTTGTTGGAACTGATGAAGGTTAGCGTTGTGTTGTTAGCTTTAAACGAGAAATAGGGAAGTATGCTTGTTGTGAAATTACATATCGTTATCGAAGAGACTGTAAACTTACGAACACCGTGCAAAATGCAGGTGGCGATGACAGTTGCGTATTTTATACACATCAGATGACCGGAGCTGACGTCTTTTAGAGGGCTGTGGCAAAAATCTAGGCAGCGCGAAGGAACGCCAGCATCGGAACAGCACGGCCTGTGATCACGCGAATCTGGCAGAAACATATATGAACCTGAAAACATCTTCATCTTTTGTCAGACTTACCTCCACCGCAGTCGACCCACGCCTTGATGCTATCAAAACAAGCGGAGCCATATGTGATCAGATCCTGAGTGGTCGTGTTGTAGCTGCACAAGTTCAAACATTTACCAGTGACCCCTTTGTCAGCGCAACACTTGGCTAAATCTGGTGTTGACGGGTGAAAATCTTCTTTGACGAAATCCTCTGCGATGTAAAAGTTTTGCGAAAAAAAGCAATCAAATGAAAAATAAAACGACATACCCGTGGGACAGCAGCGGCCCGCGATATCGTCTGAAGGACTGTCATCACTACAAACGTAGTACGGAGGGCAATCGATGTCACGATAGCAGAGGAAAAGATTTCCGTTGGAGGTAAGTAAAGGATTGCCTACTTGGCATATCTGGTTTTCTGAAAGTAAAGACAATCACGTGACACAAACAGGTGAGTATTAATTGAAACAGTAGCTAACCTTCGGCTTGTGTAACAATTTCCACTCTGGTAGATTTTAAACTGGATCCTTCGGGTGTATGGGACAAGAGATACACAGTGGTGGGGACATTAGTTTTCAAACCCATCAATTCATACGGACTTGAGACATTCGCAACCTGAAGAAAAACGACGTAATATCAACAAAGAAAGTCACAGACACTAACTTCTTTGTACTGTTCGTCTCTTCCCATTTTGTAAAACAGCGAGTAGCTGATAACGCGCTCAGCATTTATATTTGGTGGACTCCAGGAAATCATAGCTGAATCTGAGTTCAGCACCACTGCCGTAACGTTCGTAGGAGGAGAGGGATGAGTGACTGAAAAAATGCAATAAATAATTGAATTTATCTACATTAATATTCATTTTTAACAACAGTGCAAAACAACCTTGATCGTGCAATGCCCGTTACTGGTTCATTCTGTGATAAACTAAGGCCGACGTTGGAACGCATGTCACGAGAAGCAGGCTATAGTTGTTTTGAGTCGGAAGATAAGATTTAACAACTGGCTAACGACAGGCCTGACTAAACCGTAATTCACTCAAGGTTAATGTCATTTTTATAGCGTAGATAATCGATGCCTTTGCGACCGCCTGTTTCGTTAACTGCAAGGACAGGGACATTTCCACAAGCTGTTCAACGACACGCAAGCTCCTTTTCCACTGAACCATCATTTCGAGAGAAGAGGTTAGATTTTTAACAAGCAAGACTTAGAATATTCGACATTCACTCATCAGCTATTTTTCATAAGTGGGAAGGTAGCTAATTGAATGTAGGTGTTCATTATTCCCGGCGTTATTTACTAATTT